TGAGTTTGGAGTAGAGCAGCTGCTTTAGGAGACGGTGGTCAGCTTCCCTGGTTGGAGTTTAGATGTAGATATCTATCTGCGTGTGTGGGTTTTCTGTAGACGGTGTGACCCAATTGTTGATCTGGTTTGCGGATGACTAGGACATCTAGAAAAGGCAGTCTTCCTTCATTTTCTTTTTCCATGGTGAACTGGATTTTTGGGTGAATAGATATCTACATCAAAACTCCAACCATCACCCAAGTCAAAAAAGAAGCACCATCAAAGCCTTGGCAGACCGTGCAAGAAGAATCTGCGAAGCCCACCTCCTCCAAGATGAACTGAACCACCTCAACTGGGCTCTCCAGGCCAATGGAGACTCCACCTCAGACATCAGAAGAGCTGCAAGACCACCGAGAACAAGCCACGAGAGTCAAGACCAAGACCCACCCAGAGGAAAAGTGTTCTTGCCATACATCAAGGGAACCACTGACCGCATAGGGAAGCTGATGAGGAAACACAACATACAAACTATCTACAGACCCACCAAGAAAATCCAACAAATGCTACGTTCAGCAAAGGACAAGAGGGATCCTCTCACCTCTGCAGGAGTCTACCGTATACCATGCAGCTGTGGACAAGTCTACATAGGGACCACCAAACGCAGCATTGCCCAGACACGCATCAAGGAACATGAAAGGCACTGCAGACTACTCCAACCAGAGAAATCAGCCATAGCAGAGCACCTGATGAACCAACCTGGACACAGCATTTTATTTGAGAACACAAAAATGCTGGACCACTCACACAACCACCATGTCAGACTACACAGAGAAGCCATTGAAATCCACAAGCATGTGGACAATTTCAACAGAAAGGAAGAGACCATGAAAATGAACAAAATCTGGCTACCAGTATTAAAAAAACTCTAAAATTACAACAGCAAAACAGCAGAGAGGAAACAACCAGGCACATCTTAACACCTCTCAACAAAGATTTTCCCAGGCTCAGCCAGGCCTTCAAATGCTAATGAAGGTGGTCAGTTGAAACATTCACACCTAGCTCCAGCAGGGAAGAGCTCTTTGTCCCACCCCAGTCATTCCACAGATATATAAACCCTTTGTCCTAACTCCAACAGACCTCACTACCTCTGAGGATGCTTGCCATAGATGCAGGCGAAACGTCAGGAGAGAATGCCTCTAGAACATGGCTCTATAGTCTGAAAAAACCCACAAGAATTCATTGCACTGCCTATTCAAACGCCTGTTCGAATAACCAGGTTTTCACTTTCTTCCGAAATGCCATTAATGAGGGGGCTGATCTGATGTCTGTGGGTAGGGCGTTCCACAGCCGAGGGGCCACTACCGAGAAGGCCCTGTCCCTCGTCCCCGCCAACCATAGATGCAGGCGAAACGTCAGGAGAAAATGCCTCTAGAACATGGCCATATAGATCGAAAAAACCTATTATTATTATTATACAGGGTTAGTCAAAATGAATAGGCCAATAAGAAAATTAATTTTAGACGAATGTATGTTTATTGTAACCAAACTACAGCTACGTAGCGACAGATAAACTATCAAAGTTTTGTCTCACCTTCAGAGATGTTCGATATGGGTGCCCCGTGTGACACGGCAGATGTCCAAGCGATAGTCCAGTTCATTCCACATCCGTTGCAGCACATCCGACGTAATGGCATCGAATGCAGCACATATGCGCTGTTTTAAGTCGTCCAAGGTCAGCGGTAATGGAGGTCGGAACACAGTGTCTTTCACATACCCCCAGAGAGAAAAGTCGCATGGTGTGAGGTCGGGGGACCTGGGGGGCCACAGGAGGAATGGAAGATCAGTCACTCCAGCACGGCCAATCCAACGTCTGGGAAGGTGTTCGTTGAGGTACTCGCGTACACTGTTGTGCCAATGCGGAGGGGCACCGTCCTGTTGGAATACGAAATCGGGCACTATCTCTTCTAACTGTGGCATCAACCATTCAGACAACATGTCAGCGTACACTATGCCTGTTACGGTTTTCTCCGCGAAAAAGAATGGGCCAAACACGTGACGGTTGGTTATTGCACAGAAAACGTTTACCTTCGGCGAATCCCTTACATGTTCCAATACGGCATGAGGATTTTCAGATCCCCAAAAGCGGAGATTATGCCTATTGACCTTCCCGCACAGGTGAAACGTTGCCTCGTCACTGAAGACCAGTCTGTTGGCAAAGCCTTCCTCCTCTAGTCTTCGCTGCATTGATTCGCAAAAATCGTGTCGTTTCGAATAGTCACCTTTTTTCAAAGCCTGCACCATTTGCAATTTATACGGCTTGAACTGCAAACGTTTGCGTAACACGCGCCACACAGTTTTTTGCGGAACGTTCAATTCCATGGCAACACGATTTGTCGACTTCTGGGGACTTCGTTGAAAGGATGCACGAATGGATTCCACTGTGTCTTCGGAGACACGTGGTCGTCCTGTGGTTTTACCCTTGCATAAGCAGCCCGTCTCCTCAAATTGCTTTACCCACCTCGCAATGGAATGTCGATGAGGTGGTTCCTTGCCATACTTGGCTCGAAATTCTCGCTGGACCATAATTACTGACATTGTTTTAGCAAATGTCATCACACAAAACGCCCTCTCTTTGCTTGATTCCGCCATTTTGAAAACAGCGACCCCTAGCGACGCCTAGCGGCATTAACGTACATGTGTGTTGCTCAAAAAAAACTTTGATAGTTTATCTGTCGCTACGTAGCTGTGGTTTGGTTACAGTAAACATACATTCGTCTAAAATTAATTTTCTTATTGGCCTATTCATTTTGACTAACGCTGTATTATTACTATAACTATTTATTATTTATTATTTATTATTATTACTATTATTACTATTATTATTATTATTATTCCACGCTCCGCCTGTAGAGGCCGCTGCCGGGCAAGCTGAAATCCTTGGAGAGCCTCCCGCGCTTTGATTGGCTGGCAGCGGCGAGGGGGCGTGGTCTTCTCGGCCGCGAAGCCCCGCCTCTCCTCGCTCTCTCTCTCTCTCGTCTGGGTGCGCTAGAGCGAGAGAGAGAGCGAAAGCGCGCCGAGGAAGCAGCGAAAGGAGCAGCCGCGCGGCCGCCGGGCGAAACCACTCGGCGCCAGGAAAAGGGGGGGAGGGCTCTTCTTCTTCTTCTTTGGGGAAAGACCACCGTCAGAGGTGGAGGGGGGGAGGAGGAAAAAAAGAGTGGGAAGCCAGGAACGCTTTCTCTTCTGCGCTTGGGCGATACCATTGCGGGGCGGGAGGGGGGGGGGAAATAGAATATAATACATAGCACAGGAAGGAACCATTTTGACAGATCTAGGGGAGGGCGCTGGGAATAGATTGGAAGCTTTAGGGCTTTTGGAGCCAGTTAGGCTTTGCTCTGTAATTAGAAAAATTAGAAAAGGGGGTGTCATCAGGCTGAAGTCAAAAGGAGTCTGTTGGTGTGAGGGTTTTAGTCAGAACTGTGAGGGGAAACGGTTGGCCAGAGTGACGCCATCTTTGTTTATTTTTTGAGGCAGTTGAGAGGCAGCCTGAGAAAAAAGGCTCAGGTGGGTTTGAGGTGGAGATATATATATATATATATATGAAAATTAGGGTCTATATATTATAGTAGACCTATATATATAAATATAAATAATCAGAGGCTAATTGGGTTTTGTTTCTTCAAAAAGTACCTCAGAACTAGGGTCTATATATTATAGTAGACCTATATATATATAAATTAGGGTCTATATATTATAGTAGACCTCTATATATATATACATATACATTCAGAGGCTAATTAGGTTTTGTTTCTTCAAAAAGTACCTCAGAACTAGGGTCTATATATTATAGTAGACCTATATATATATAAATTAGGGTCTATATATTATAGTAGACCTCTATATATATATAAAAATTAATCAGAGGCTAATTAGGTTCTGTTTCTTCAAAAAGTGCCTCAGAAATAGGGTCTATATATTATAGTAGACCTATATATATATATTTAAATATATATATATAATCGGAGGCTAATTAGGTTTTGTTTCTTCAAAAAAGTACCTCAGAAATAGGGTCTATTTTATAGTAGACCTATATATAAATAATCAGAGGCTAATTAGGTTTTGTTTCTTCAAAAAGTACCTCAGAAATAGCACCTGTGGGAAAGTAAAGCTAGAATAACTTTTGGCTAGGCCTCCACAACAGTTAATTAATATATATTATATATTAATATATAATATTATATATTAATATATAATATACTCGGATATATATTGTGGGTAGTGCCTCAGAAATAGCACCTGTGGGAAAGTAAAGCTAGAATAACTTTTGTCTAGGCCTCCACGACAGTTTATTAATATATATTATGTATTAATATATAATATTATATATTAATATATAATATACTGGGATATATATCGTGGATAACATTAGTTTCTGGGAAAGTGCCTCAGAAATAGCACCTGTGGGAAAGTAAAGCTAGAATAACTTTTGACTAGGCCTCCATGACAGTTTATTAATATAAATTAATATATAATATACTGGGATATATATTGTGGGTATCATTAGGGCAAGTTGCTAGGAAAGTTCCTCAGAAATAGCACCTGTGGGAAAGTAAAACTAGAATAACTTTTGTCTAGGCTTCCATGACAGTTTATTAATATATATTATATATTAATATATAATATTGTGGGTATCATTAGGGCAAGTTTCTAGCAAAGTGCCTCGGGAAATAACACCTGTGGGAAGGTAAAGTACTGGCCAAATATAGATAGGTAGATAATGATATATACACATATATATTAAAAAGGAGGGTTTTAATTAGGGTTATTTGCTAGAAAAAATACCTTGGTGAATCCACCTGTGGGAAGGTAAAGCTTTCCCACTGGCTATATATATATATATAGGGTTTTGAAAAATTAGGGCTATTTTCTAGAAAAGCGCCTCAGCAAATACACCTGTGGGAAGGTAAAGTTTCCCCACTGGCCAGATAGATATTTATATATATATATATACATATACACACACATATACATACATACCATATATATTAAAAGGAGGGTTTTAATTAAGGTTATTTTCTAGAAAAGCGCCTCAGCGAATACGACTGTGGGACGGTAAAACTTCCCCACTGGCCATATAGATATAAATATTTATAAATATACATATATACACACATACATACATAACATATATTAAAAGGAGGGTTTTGATTAGGGTTATTTTCTAGAAAAGCACCTCAGCAAATACACCTGTGGGAAGGTAAAGTTTCCCCACTGGCCAGCTAGATATAGATATTTATTTATATATATACATACACACATATATATTAAAAGTGGAGTATTAATTAGAGTTATTTTCTAGAAAACTGCCTCAGCGAATCCACCTGTGAGACAGTAAAGCTTCCCCACTGGCTATATGTATATATATATGTATATTAAAAGGGGTTTTAAAAGTAGAGTTATTTTCTAGAAAAGTACTCAGCGAATATACCTGTGGGACCTTAAAGCTTCCCCACTACCACAGTAACTTCCGGTCATAGATATTAAAAGAGGGGCATTAATTAGGGTTGTTTTGTGGGAAAGTGCCTCAGTAAATACACCTGTGGGAAGGTAAAGCTTCCCCACTACCACAGTAACACCTGGCCGTAGAGATAGATATTGAAAGCAGAGTATTAGGGTTATTTCCTAGGACAGTGCCTCAGGGAATCCACCTGTGGGAAGGCAACACCCCTTTGCTACCAGAACTACTCCTGCCAGGCTCTTACCTGTTCGCTCAGGTGTGTTCACCTGCCCTGCTGTGCTTCGTGGAACCCGGCCCAACCTTGTGCGAGGAAGCCAACCCGGATACACAGGCCTTGGTCTGGATTAACTGAGCACCTGCCACCCCTTCAGGATAACCTTTCTTTGGGACAAAGCGAAGCCAACGGAGAAGTGAAGCCAACGGAGAAGCGAAGCCAACGGGAGACTACGGGCTTTCTTTCTCTTGGAGAATAAACTGAGAAGACCCGTGACTCTTCCTCCTGGATTCCTCTTTGTGTTTTTCTCTTTCTTCCTCCATTTCTCTTTCAACTGGGACGAAAAAAGGAGAGATTAAAAGGAAAAGAAGCCAATTAGGTACAGAAAACAGAAGCTTTTGTGTTGTTCTCAGCACTTGACAAAGTGTTCTGCAGAAAAAGGGAAGCAAGGGACACAAGTCTGAAGGGTCCAAAGGATTTTTGGGAGAGTGATTTGGCTTTTAATTTTTGGGTGGAGCACAGCAGGAGGAGGAGGAGGAGGAAGAGAAATATTCCTTTGAGGTTGTGCAGAGGACCTGCTCTACAGCCTTGGGTTTCAGCAGAGCCAACAGCAATGCCTCTTTTTCTCCAGGATGGCGGAGCTAAATCAGGGATCCGGCAAGATCGGTAACTTTGCTTCAGGTAGCACGAAGCAGCCTCTTGGCCTGCTTCCTGAAGTAAAACCACAACCCAAGAGTTTCACGATTTGTGCAACTGGTCTCAACTTCGCTATTTTTAAAAATATATTTAAAGCTTCCTGACTGTGAGAGCCGTTCAGCAGTGGAACTCTCTGCCCCGGAGTGTGGTGGAGGCTCCTTCTTTGGAAGCTTTTAAGCAGAGGCTGGATGGCCATCTGTCAGGGGTGATTTGAATGCAATATTCCTGCTTCTTGGCAGAATGGGGTTGGACTGGATGGCCCATGCGGTCTCTTCCAACTCTTTGATTCTATGATTCTATGATTATATTTGGTTGTAAGGAGTTTATTTCGGCTTTGTTTTTTGACAGGATCCCAAAGGAGACAGGTCCTCTTTATCTCACCTGATTGACAATTTGCTTTCCTGATTGCTGATTAATTATCTGCAATTGTCCTCAGAAGCACTTAACTACCCATTGGGTTGGTCTCTTTTAAAACCTTCCTGCTTAGATACATCCTACTTCTGTTCATGCCCAGTGTTTATTTAAATTTTTAAATTTTTTTTAAAAGAAATTTTATTGAATTTTATATAAGATACAGCGAAAGAGTTTTTAATATATTTTTAAATTTTTAATTAATTTAATACAGATAATAATACAGATAATGTGTATTATCTGCTTTGAACTGGATTATATGGGTCTACACTGCCATATAATTAATTTCAAAGCAGATAATATGGATTTTATATGGCAGTGCAGGCGAGGGCTTAATTTTGTCTAAATGTTGTGGGGCAGTGACATGTGAATCTAAGTTTTGGAGTGACTCTGGCAAAAAGAGATGGGCAAAGACAACAGGAATATGCATTGTCGAAGGCTTTCATGGCCGGAATCACTGGGTTGTTGTACGTTTTTTGGGGCTATATGGCCATGTTTTAGAGGCATTCTCTCCTGACGTTTTGCCTGCATCTATGGCAAGCATCCTCAGAGGTAGTGAGGTTATGGCCTCGAGTTGCCGGAATTTAAAAAAAAAATTAATTTATTACACCTGACCATAAGGTTTTAAATTCTCTGTTATTGTTTATATGTAAGTTATATTAATTGTACTGTTTTATTTGCTTGCTGTTTTGTTTTTACTGATGTGTTGTTGGGCTTGGCCTATGTAAGCTGCCCCGAGTCCCCTTGGGGAGATGATGGCGGGTATAAAGATTATTATTATTATTATTATTATTATTATTATTATTATTATCCCCTCCCCCCCCCCCCCCCCACACACACACATTTTAAATTTCTCTGGTGTGTTCAGCTTCACCTGCTTCCTTTTACAAAAGCGGTTACTGGGTTGCATCAAAAGTAAAGGGCTTGCTGAGCCTCCAAAAGTCAGATTCAAGCTGTTGTGGTTTGGCATTTGATGGCTGAGAATTAAGCTATGAGTGGTAGTTATGGTAATCTCATTGCTTCTCCCCCTTAACCCCCCAAAAGGGAGTAAGTTTCCAAATGCATTATGATTAATATATCATTCTCAATTGCTTGTAACCATTTGGAAATTGGCTGGAATAGCTCATTTGGAGGGTGAGATGCATGTGAGGACTTGTAAACAAATTTTGAAAGAGAGCTACGCAGTACATTTCTTTTTCCACATTTCTGGTATGCTTGGGAACTGTTGCTTTAATTGTTTAGGATTTAATTTCCCCCTCAACCGCTTGGGCAGGCCTGCTGTGAGCACATAGGAGCAGCTTGGGGAGCCTTTGGAATCTAGCGCAGGCTCTCTTCAGGTGTGTTGAGGAGTGAAGGGGGAAGAACACCTCTTAAAGCCTCTCTCCACCCTTTATTTACATCTGCAGCTTTTGGAAGCAAAGTGGTTTCGCGCCAGGATTAGAAGAAGAACCTTTTGGAATATAAGGAGCCGAAGGGGCCTCGGAAGAAAAGGATTTCTGCGGGAGAACCTGGACTTCTTTCCGTGCCTGGGAACTGATGTTGAGGGGGAGCTGACGTTTGGAAATTACCGCAGGGGTCTTCTCTGGCTGAGCAAACCATGGATGTGTGGTCCAGGATTGCCGTGTGGCTCCTCTGTGGCATGCTCCTGCAGCAGGGACATGGGGAGCGGGCCCCCGGCACCCACCTGGATGAAGCCACCATTGCAGGTAAGGAGAAGCCCCTTCCTTCACCTGTGGGGCAGGATCCTGTTTGGTCGGGGGTCCTGTTGCCACCTTCGCTCTTCTCAAGTTGCAATCTGCGCCGTTGCCTGTCAGAGTTTTAACAGAGTTCAAAAGAGTTTTTGAAAAATATGTTTTAATTTGACTCAACTCTTTTTTTGCTCTTAGGGTTTTAAAAATATTATGTGATTTGCTTTCAGTATTTTGCCATATTTGTGCAGTCTTCTGGTAGTTACCTTCTGTGTTTTACATTGGTTTCAGCTTCCAAGTTGTTTAATAAGACTAGAGAGATAAGAAACACATACGCTCTTCAGAACAGGAGAGGCTGTCGGTTCAAGTGAGCACTCTCCCTCTGCACTTAATGGGTGCTTAGCCAATAATGCTGGGGTTGAGAGGGGAAACATTTTAGGCCCCTTCTATGCTGCCATATAGTCCAGATTATCAAAGCAGATAATACACATGAACTGGATTATATGGGTCTACACTGCCATATAATTAATTCATATAATTAATTTCAAAGCAGATAATATGGATCTACACTGCCATATAATTAATTTCAAAGCAGATAATCTGGATTTCATATGGCAGTGTAGGCGAAGGCTTAGTTTTGTCTAAATGTTGTGGGGCAGTGACATGTGAGTCTAAGTTTTGGAGTGATTCTGGCAAAAAGAGATGGGCAAAGACAACAGGAATAGGTTATGGCCTCGAGTCGCCAGAAGGCTGAGAGGAGTGGTATACAAATACAATGAATAAATAAATAAATAGCACTTTTATGGCAGTGGTTTCTATGAGTCTGCACTTAATAGGGATGTAGTTGTGCATACATCTAAGATTATTTATTTTAAGTGATATTTATTGACTATGTTAAATGTTATTGGCTTATTATTATTATTGTTATTATTATTATGATTAAACTTTATTTGTACCTCGCTGTGCGGCAATCTTAATTCTAATAAAGTGCTTTGTGGGACTTGGTATTGGAGATTTCCTAATCGGGGAAGGCACATCGGAACAGCCAGGTCTTCAAGTTCTTTCTGAAGACTGCCAATGTGGGGGCCTGTCTAAGATCTTTGGGGAGAGTGTTCCAGAGACGGGGGGCCACCACGGAGAAGGCCCCCATATTTGTATTGTATGTATTATATCTTACGTATTTGACATTGCATTTTTAATGTTGTGATCTGTTTTGTGTCTCAGTTGAGGTACTATAAATGTACTATAGTTCAGGGTTGTTGTAGGTTTTTTCGGGCTGTATGGCCATGGTCTACAGCCGTGGTTCTCAACCTGGGGTCCCCAGATGTTTTGGGCCTCCAACTCCCAGAAATCCTAACAGCTGGTAAATTGGCTGGCATTTCTGGGAGTTGTAGACCAAAAACATCTGGGGACCCCAGGTTGAGAACCACTGGTCTAGAGGCATTCTCTCCTGACGTTTCACCTGCATCTATGGCAAGCATCCTCAGAGGTAGTGAGGTAGTGACCTCACTACCTCTGAGGATGCTTGCCATAGATGCCAGCGAAACATCAGGAGAGAATGCCTCTAGACCATGGCCATACAGCCCGAAAAAACCTACAACAACCCAGTGATTCTGGCCATGAAAGCTTTCAACAATACTATAGTTCACTTGGGCAGCCCCACATAGTGTGCATTGCAGTAGCCAAATTAAGATGTTGCCCATGCATGGTCTTTTGTGGTCAATTAGCCCCCTCCAGCTGGGCAGATCAGTTGAAGTTGGGCTACCCAGAAGCTGCTTCTGGAGAAAGAGATGGGTCCAGGCATACCTCACAGATGGACATCTGCTTCTTCGGTTGGAGTGCAGCCCCATCCAGGTTGCTCCCAGGCTGTATTTTAATTTAGGTGAGGCATATTTCTCCCTGCTCCATAGTTTCAGGTTTTGCTTTACTTCTCTGCAGGAAATATGAGAGGCTGTGAAGCTGACGCTTAACTAAATCTGGGAAAATTATGTTATCATTCAATAGAAGGGATTTGTTTCCAGAGTTACATGTAATGAACAGCTTGAGGAAACAAAAAGGCACTTGTATAATTTGTTAAGTTGAGCTCTGCTCCTTTTTTGGACTTCCTGGCTTCGGTAAAAGTTTGATCAGTTTCCGGACAAAGCTCAGCTTTGGATAAGAAAAGAGTTTACAGTAGTATATAGGACTGCTTTGGCACACACGAGGAAGAATATATATTTTTAAAGGATTGTTTTGCATAATACTCTAATGTATTACTGGGTCAGTTTTGCTGAATGTCCTCTGCTTGGTGGGAGCAGTAGGTGAGGCAGTATCGAATTCTCCCAAGTTGCTTTCTGGTCATTCATAAAGACTTAGGAGCAACCTACAAATGGGACTTCACTTGCTGAGAGACTACAACTGTAACCCCCTCCTTTTCTCCTGTCGGAAATCCCCATCCTTACATCACACGTCTTTAAAATAGCTGCACGTCAGTATCGCCATGTAGGATGTTGCTTTTATCAGGTGGCTTGGCAAAGGCGGAGGAAGGGTATGACAACGCTGTTTGGGGATGGGTAGTCAGCACTAGTTACTGAATGGAGGAACCATGAAATATGTGGTGATAACAGTAATAATGCATATTAGTTGTATCTGGACTCGGTTTCTTGTATTTATGTCAGCTGCCTTTTGTGCATTATTTATTATTATTATTATTATTATTATTATTATTATTATCTTTATTTGTACCCCGCTAGCATCTGCCGAAGAGCTCGATGCGGCTTACAAAGGCCAAGGCCTGAAAACACAACATAACAATACAAAACCTAAGCAAATTAAAAACAATTAAAGCAATATTAACAACAAGCAATAAACAATACACCAAGACACAATAAAACTGGGCTGGGCCAGATTAATGGGTACAGAATTAAAAGTGCTGGTGTGACAGGTGATATGTAAGGATTATAGGGTAAGTGCAGTGTGCAGTGTGCAACAATCTTCATTCTAATAAAGTGCTTCTGGGACTTGTTATTGGAGTTTTCCTATTCTGGAAAGGCACATCGGAACAGCCAGGTCTTCAAGTTCTTTCTAAAGACTGCCAATGTAGGGGCCTGTCCAAGATCTTTGGGGAGGGTGTTCCAGAGTCGGGGGGCCACCACAGAAAAGGCCCTGTCTCGCGTCCCCACCAAACGTGCCTGCGACGCAGGCGGAATTACGAGCAGGGCCTCTCCGGATGAACGAAGTGAGCGCGTGGGTTCATAAACGGAGATTTGTTTGTATTTGTATACAAACATTTGTTTGTATGCATGTGTCTGCAAGTCACCTGTACATATTCCTCCCATCATTATCAATATTAATTATATGATTGTTATTAAAAGTAGAAGTGTGTTTATATAATATCTAAAAGTAGTAGAATAATATATGGTAAAAATCAGTACAGTGAGCATGAGGCTTGTAAAAGCTTCTTTGGAAGCTTTTAAACGGGTTGGATGGCCATCTGTCAGGGGTGATTTGAATGCAATATTCCTGCTTCTTGGCAGGGGGTTGGGCTGGATGGCCCATGAAGTCTCTTCCAACTCTTTGATTCTAATAGTTTATGTAGTTATTTATTTATTTACCTTACTTTTATCCCGCCCATTTCATCCTGAAGGCGACTCAGGGCGGCGTACAGATCGGCAACAATTAGATGCCATAAATAAATACATTTATAATATGTACATGTTGATGTAGATATGTGTTTAGTGTATTTGCTTTTGATTTAGTTTTGTAGTATGTTGTATTCATTCATTTATTCATTTGTTCCCTGCCCTTCTCAACCCCTGGGTGGGGGGGGGGGGGTACTCAGGGCGGCTTACAATGCCAATGCACAACATAGCAATAGAACACAATTAACACATTGATTAAAATATTCAATATAAATAGGCAGTTAAAAACATTATTAACAATAATATAGCCACATCCAAGTTCGATTCAACATTCAGGGACTTAGTCCAAAGCCTGTAGGGCAGTAGTTCTCAACCTGTGGGTTCCCAGATGTTTTGGCCTTCAACTCCCAGAAATCCTAAAAGCTGGTAAATTGGCTGGGAGTTGTAGGCCAAAACACCTGGGGACCCACAGGTTGAGAACCACTGCTGTATGGGCTAGTTAGAAAGCTACTTACTTTTTTGTGATATATAAACATAAAAATCTGGGGTTTCCTTTTTTATTTCTGCTTTTTTTATAATTTATGCATTATTATTATATTTATTTATGCCCTGCTTTATCTCACCTGAAGGGGATTCACAGCAACTTAACTTAAAAGCATCAGCATAACGATTCAAAATACACTAATATACAAACTTTAAAACAGGATTAAATATATATGGTATTAAAAATTCCCAGTTAAAAACCATTGAAACATATTCAAAGTTAAAAGCCACATTTCTGAATAAATATTAGTGACACATCATTATAATCAGTTATTATAAATATTTATATCCTGCCTTTGTCCCATTTGGGGACTCAAGCCAATTTACAACAGATTAAAAAAAAACTTAGTTAAAAGTTCACACAATACAAAGGTTATAAAGCAATTAAACTGTCAAATTAAAACCAGTTCAGAATGAAAAGCATAAGAAACACAACAGTGCAGCAAAAATAACAAATAGAAAACCCAGCACATTGTACAAAACCTGCCATGCTTTAGCAATAGGTCTGCAAATATGTGTCGGAAAAGAAAGAGCTTCTCCTGTTTACAGAAAGGGAGTATGAAGGCTGTCAGTCTAACCCAGTGTTTCCCAAACAGTGCTCCTCCACGTGTTTTGGACTTCAGATCCTAGAAATCCCAGCTAGCTTACCAGCTGTTAGGAACTGTGGCAGCTGAAGTCCAAAACATCTGGAGGAGCTCAGGTTGAGAAACCTCTTTGGTAAAGGATGTCCAGAGCCTGCAGGGAGCCACCAAGAAGCCCTAGGTCTCTTCCATGTTCAGGCTAGATGTCCTCTTGCAGGTAAAAGGGCCCCTCTATTAGATCTCAAAATATAGCAAGTTTGTAAGGGAAAGTACA